GCCCTGAACACAGATACCACCTAGGCCTATAGGAACTCCATCTCGGGCCCTGAACACAGATACCACCTAGGCCTATAGGAACTCCATCTCGGGCCAAGAACCCCACTATCATATCCCTCCATACCCAACTCATGAGCTCCTTGACTGGCAGGAACCACCACCACCCCGCCAAAATTTTCTCCTTTCTGGGTCCAACAGCTGCACTGGAGGTTTTATTTTATTGTATTTTTTCCTTTTGTTGTTCCTTTTTGTTTGTTTATTCTTTCTTCTCCTTCTTCTTCCCTCCATTCCCTGAATTTATCTTTTCAACAATATCATTTCCCCTTTTGTTCTTCCTTTTTTCCTTCTGGTTCCCATTTCCCTTCTTCTTTTTTTCCTTTGGATCTTTCTTTACTACTCTCTTTCTTCCTTTTATTTTCTCTCTTATTTTTCTCTTTATATTTTCTCTCTTCATTGTGGGTTGCTTGCTTGCTTATTTTCTTTTGCTCCCTGCTGTGTGTGAGGCACGGGACTAAGAGGGAATGTTTCTCCTCTTTCCCACCCAAAAGAATTCAGGAAAGCTCTATAAGAACAAACAGATGAAATAAATGCAAATTTTGAAATAACACAAAACCTACAATTAGAAATCTAGAAGATTAATACTAAGATTTCAGAAAAGGACAATACATTGAAAGGGCAAATGAGTTGATTGGAGGCAACAGGAGCCCGAATTAGAGAGCTTTAAGATGAATTTCTCAGTACTAGTATACTAGATGAACAATCCGAAACAAAGAATGAAAAATATCTGAAGAGCACATAAGAGTTATAGTGACACCACGAAGAGGGATAACGTATGGATGACTGGAACTCCAGAACAGAAAGACACAATAAAAGGCACAGAGAAAATTGTCAAAGAGTTGTTAGAATAAAATTTCCCTAACATCATGAAAGACGAGACGATAACTACACAAGAAGCTGGATAAACCCCAAAAAGGATGTTGTTGTTGTTGTCAGGTGCCATCGAGTCGGCACCGACTCATAGCGACCCCATGCACAGCAGAATGAAACAATGTCCAATCCTGGGCCAACCTCACTACTGTTGCCACAGTTGAGTCCATCGATGCTGCCACCTGGCCAATCCATCTCATTGGGGGCCTTCCTCTTTTTCTCTGACCCTCCACCTTACCAAACATGATATCCTTCTCCAGTGACTTACAATAAGGATAGACTACAAAATAAAATCTCCAACATATATCATAATCAGACTTTCCAAAATCAAAGACAAGGAAAAAGTCCTGAGAATAGCTCAGGAAAAGTGAAAAGTTACCTCAAAGGAGAACCAATAAAATTAAGCTCTGATCTCCCAGCAGAAACCATGCAGACAAGAAGGCTATGGGATGACATATACAAAAAACTGAAAGAAAAAAACTGCCAATCAAGAATTATATCCCCAGCAAACCTGTTGCTCAAATAGAACAGCAAAATTACGACACTTCCAGATGAAAATAAATGAAAGGAATTTGCAATGAGCAGACCAACTTTACAAAAAATACTAAAGGGTGTTCTTTAGACTGAGAATCAACTGCAGGCAACAACCTGAAATTATCATACATGACAATATCACTCAGAGTTCAATCCAAATATAGAAATATTTAAAGTAAAACAAACCTAGGAGACTGAAAATAGGGAACGAAAGATCAATTTATAAAGATGTCAACTAGGAATAGTGTAGATACAGAATTTCCAAATGGCAAGGACATCAAATAGATTTCAGGATCAAACAGACTGTTTTACACAGGGGAGTGAAAATTAATAAATTACAAGGTAACCTCAAAGAAAATGAAAACACCTTCACATCAAGATAAAAAAGAGGAAAATCAGAACAAAATAAAAAAAGAGGAAAATCAGAAAGAAGTAGCAAACTACACAACAGAAATGAAAATGAAAACAAAACGTACAAACATAAAGAACTCAGAGCAGAAAATGATGTAGAACCAAGAAACCAGCAGCCACACACACACAAAAACCCACATCAAAATGATAGCAATCAATACATGTCTTTAATAATTACACTGACTGTTGATGGATTAAATGCACTCATAAGAGACAGAGAGAGCAGAACAGATAAGAAAACAGGCTCCTTCAATAAACTGCCTCTGACTCACGGCCACATTAGGGACCAGAGAACAGAACGCTGCCTGAGCCCAGCGAGTCCTCATGTTCATTGGCATGTTTGTACACACCGCTGTGGTCACTGTATTAACCATTTCACTGAGGGATTTCCTCGTTTTCAATAACCATCTACATTACCACAGGCACCCTAGACACCCTAATGGTCCAACAATTAAGTGCTGGGGCTGCTCACCAGAAGGTTGATGGCTCAAATCCATCAGCAGCTCCCAGGGAGAAAAGGCCTGGCCTCAGAAACCCTATGGTACAGTTCTACTCTGTCATATAGTGGGGGGTCTCTCTACGAGTCAGAATCAACTTGATAGCACACAACTACTTCACAAAACATGATGATATCCTTATATAATGTTGTTGTTAAGTGCCTTCGAGTCGATTCTGACTCATAGCCAACCTGTATAGGGTTTCCAAGGAGCAGCTGGTGGGCTTGAACCACTAACCTTTTAGTTAGCAGTCCAGTGCTTTTCCTGAAGCGCTACTCCAGGATCCATACATAAAAATAGACAGTGAGGGTTTATAAGAAGCACTAATGGCACTGTAGGATAAGCACTATACTGTTAACCACAAGGCCGGCAGTTCAAACCCACCAGCCACTCCAAGGGAGAAAATGTAAGGCTGTCTGCTCCTGTAAACATTTACAATCTCAAAAGCCCTATACAGGGTCGCCAGGAGTCATCAC